GCCGCCTCCTCCCTCGCCGCCTCCTCCTTGGCCGCCTCATCCCTTGCCGTCCTCGCCGCCCCCTCCCTCGCCATCTCCTCCCCCGCCGCTTCCTCCCCTGCCGCCTCCCCCCTTGCCGTCTCGTCCCTCACCGCCTCCCCTCGCGCCTCCTTCCTCGCCGCCTCCTCCCTGAGCTGCGGCTCAACGGCGGCCTAAGGTACGGCCTCTCCCCCTCGAGAGAGGACCTCCACCTGACCGCGCCAGCGGGTGAAGTGGGGTGCGTCGCTGCCACAGCGACGTGGGCGTTTTAGCTCTCGGTGTAGATGGGCTTCGGGCCTGAGTGGGTGGTGCTAGTGTGGGAGGCTGGGGCAGGGACTCGATGGGCCTCTTCCTCTCCTCTTGACTAGTGGCGCTCCTCTGCGTGGCGGGGGCAGATGCCCTTGGGCTCTGTCTCCGGCCTGTTCCCTGTCTCCTCCTGTCGTGTCGTGGGTGTTTTGTTTCTTTTTTGAGAGCTAGCGGTAGGAATCCGGGCCCTGCTCCCCCCCCCCTCCCCGAGGGGAGATGAGAGCTAGGCCCCCCCCCATGACGAGCAGCGCCAGCTGCTGCCGAAGAAGATCGAGGCCTTCGCTGGGCGGCGCGTCGTCGCTGTCTCGGCTGGAAGCTGCCACAGCCTCGCCCTCGCCGCCGATGGCGCTGTTTATGCTTGGGGCGAGGGCGAGCACGGCTGCCTGGGCCACGGAGAGGACCTTTCGAACCAGCTGCTGCCCAAGAAGGTTGAGGCGTGGTCGCCGGGGCCGTGAGAAAGCCCGCGCAGTTGGACAAGGAGGGGATGGTCCGGCTTCTCGCGGGCTCAACGAGGAGAGGGTTTGGCTCGGCGTCACGGGCGTGGCGAGCCCGAGGGTGGGCGCGGCGGCGGCGATGGTGGCGAAAGCCGCGGCGGCGCCGAGGAGGCCGCGGCCGCTATGGAGGCCAAACCGCCGCGCCGCCGCTCGCGCCGCCTCGCCTCCGCCTCGACCGCCGCTCCCTCGCCAGACGCGCCGCCGCCCGCCCGCTTGCTCGACCTCCCCAGGGAGCTCCTCGAGCGCGCCCTCTCTCGCTGCGACAGCCCCGTCGACATCGCTCGCGTCGGGGCCGTCTCGCTCCTCTTTCACTCGCTCGCGGAGCAGGGCATCCGCTTGTGGGCGCAAGAGCGCGGCTTCGAGCTGCCGGCGCAGCCAGAGGACGAGAGCTGCGCCGTGCGGTGGGTGTGCTATTCGGCGTTGCTGCACGAGTCCAACCCGCCGGCGAGGGCGGCGGGATGCCACTACAGCAGCCTCTTCATTGACGGCGAGGGGCGGCTCTCGTCGTGCGGCTCGGCGCCGGACTACAACCCAATCCCCGGGCTGCTCGGCCACTGCGAGGGCGTGACGCGGCTCAACACACCGACCCGCCTCCCGTCGACGCTGGGTGACGAGCGCGCCGTGAGCGTCTCGGTTGGAGGTGGCCACAGCCTCGCCCTCACCGACGGCGGCGCTGTGTGGAGCTGGGGCGATGGAGACTATGGCACGTTGGGCCACGGCGATCGGCAGGACCAGGGGCAGCCGCAGAAGGTCGAGGCCTTTGGTGGCCAGCGTGTCATGGCTGTGACGGCTGGAGGCAGTCACAGCCTCGCCCTCACCGCCGATGGCGCCGTTTGGAGCTGGGGCTGGGGCAACTCTGGCTGGCTAGGCCACGGCGACCAGCAGCGGCAGCTGCTGCCGAAGAAGGTCGAGGCCTTTGCTGGGCGGCGCGTCGTCGCCGTGTCGGCGGGAGGCAACCACAATCTCGCCCTCACCGCCGGCGGCGCCGTCTGGAGCTGGGGCGATGGAGACTATGGCACGTTGGGCCACGGCGACCAGCAGAACCAGCTGCTGCCCAAGAAGATCGAGGCCTTTGCTGACCAGCGCGTCGTCGCTGTGTCGGCTGGTTACCAGCACAGCATCGCCATCACCGCCGACGGAGCTGTCTGGAGCTGGGGCAGTGGAGGCTATGGCAAGCTGGGCCACTGCGACCAGCAGAGCCAGCTGCGGCCGAAGAAGATCGAGGCCTTTACTGGACAGCGCGTAATCACTGTGTCGGCGGGAGGTAGGCACAGCCTCGCCCTCGCCGCCGACGGCTCCGTCTGTAGCTGGGGTCGTGGAGGTGATGGCCGGCTGGGCCACGGTGACGAGCAGCGCCAGCTGCTGCCGAAGAAGATCGAGGCCTTCGCTGGGCGGCGCGTCGTCGCTGTCTCGGCTGGAAGCTGCCACAGCCTCGCCCTCGCCGCCGATGGCGCTGTTTATGCTTGGGGCGAGGGCGAGCACGGCTGCCTGGGCCACGGAGAGGACCTTTCGAACCAGCTGCTGCCCAAGAAGGTTGAGGCGTGGTCGCCGGGGCCGTGAGAAAGCCCGCGCAGTTGGACAAGGAGGGGATGGTCCGGCTTCTCGCGGGCTCAACGAGGAGAGGGTTTGGCTCGGCGTCACGGGCGTGGCGAGCCCGAGGGTGGGCGCGGCGGCGGCGATGGTGGCGAAAGCCGCGGCGGCGCCGAGGAGGCCGCGGCCGCTATGGAGGCGGGAGCGGACGCGACATCATGTGTGTGGCTGCGTTGGCCTTTGAGTCTTGTGCGTGCCTTGGCTCTTGTGCGTGCTGCCGTGCGAAGAGGCTCTTGGCAGAGAGAGAGGCTATTCCAGAGGCTTCTGTAGTCGCGAGTTTGTGTGTGTTCGCGCGTCTTGCGAGTCAAAGAGGCAGTCAAAGGCAAATCATGTCGCCGACCGCCGGAGGAAACAAATCTCACGCCGGAATTTGGCTACGATTTTCTTTTTCTCGCGATGTCCAAACCGCCGCGCCGCCGCTCGCGCCGCCTCGCCTCCGCCTCGACCGCCGCTCCCTCGCCAGACGCGCCGCCGCCCGCCCGCTTGCTCGACCTCCCCAGGGAGCTCCTCGAGCGCGCCCTCTCTCGCTGCGACAGCCCCGCCGACATCGCTCGCGCCGCGGCCGTCTCGCTCCTCTTCCACGCCTCGCTCGCGGAGCAGGGCATCCGCTTGTGGGCGCAAGGGCGCGGCTACGAGCTGCTGGCACAGCCAGAGGGCGAGGGCTGCTTCGTGCGGTGGCTGTGCTTTGCCGCGCTCCTGCGCGAGTCCAACACGCCGGCGAGGGCGGCAGCAGGCGGTCGGCACAGCGTATTTTACGAGCTCTTTTCACGCGTGCTTTTGCCCACTCCGCGCCGCGATGCGCCCCCTCCCCCTCGCTTTTGCAAAATCCTGCAAAGGTGGGGACGTGTCTGTCCTCGACCCAGCCCTAGCTAGGCATGCATTCTGTGGTTTCTGTTTTACTCCTACCTGCGTGTGGCAAGTATGAAATCACCGTCGAGGACTAGTCGGCCGTCCGCTACCCTGCGCAATCGAATAATGCTTCGCGCCTTGATACTATCCAGCCTCCTCGCGGCCTCGGCGCGCGCGGCCTGCCCCACCTCGGCTGGCGACCCGATCACGACGTTCGACGGCGTCTCGACCCGCTACTGGCTTCCGAACGGCACCGAGACAGAGCTCTTCCGCTTGGGCGACATTGCTCTCGTGGGCACCGCCGGCCCGACGCCTGGCTACAATGAGTCCTTCGGCGAGTGGCTTCACGCCGTGCGGCTGATCAAAGAGGGGTCGGCCATTCTACACGTCGCCGTCAACCACACCGTTCGTCTCAACGAACCGCGCAACAACATGACCGCACTGCGCGCCCTGGCCGTCCGGCTTGCTGGAGCGGCACTGAATGGGTCCGGCAAGGAGGAGAGTGGAGG